GTCTAGGAACAATAAGTCCGTCAAGTTATAGCTCAAAGAAAAGATTAAACAATTTTAGAGTTCTATTAAAATTAGGATTCTGCTGGGCATCCTGAGAACTGCTGTTTCATTGTTGTGCTGTTACTTTTCCACCAAATACTTTCCAAATTAAAAAAAGAGCTGTATCCTTTGCAAACACCAATTAATCATGGCATATTGTCCATTCTATTGGATTTTTTTTTAGGAACTAGTACAAGGAAAAGAGATTTCCTGCTCTAAGTATTATGAGTATACATGTTCCATGTTCGTATATATATCCGGAATTTGAGGTAAATTCTTCCGAACATGTTAAAAATAGAAGGAGGTGTGTACACACTTATATCAGTACTTCTGAGGCTCTTGAGAACATTAAATATACTTTAACATTAAATATACATTAAATATATAAGTTTTCCACAAGAGCAACCAAGAGATTGGGCATATTGTTGAAAGAAATATGAGTCACCATCTGTCTGGAGAATATCCTATGATCACTCTTTTTAAAATAAGCCTAGACGTATTTAAACAATGCCATGGTTGGCAATGAAGATGACTAACCTTCTCATAAAAAGGGAGTATTTGGAGAATGGGAGATGTATACTAAATAGTGCAAATAATCCCAGTGTTTCAGGTCACAGCCTGGAGATTCCTCCACTATGTATTTTAATTTGGTCTCAAACACAGCATGTATTCATTTTTCCCTTTTGGTGTGCTTTCTACATTACGTAGGCTTCAAGAGGGCCACACACCTTTAAAGGGATGGCAGGGGTTACAGGTCTGGAGGAAATTAACATAACTCTACCATTTTTCAGTTTAGGGACCAAGCTTTGGAATGAATTGCTGTTGGCAACCGGCAACCTTATCTAGAGTTAAAATGCTTTTCTTTGCCACCAAGAAAAAAATCATGGAAGAAAATACAGAAGGCATATGATCAATAAAAAAAATTGCATGATTTTGATTCCCCAGTCCCACTCATCATACCAAAAAGACCTTAGAAGACTATTAGTAAGACTATTCGTTTGAAGTATTTTTCATTTCTGCTACACTCAAAGAAGTGTACAACAGCTTTTTTACTCTAGTTCTAGCCAAATGTATCAGATTTTAATTTCCAAAGCTCTAGTCAACATGGTTACATAGCTTGAGGGATTATGGGAGTTGAAGTACAATACATCTGGAGGGCAAAGTTTGGGAAAAACTGGCATGCAAAATAAAATGCAGTAAAGCGACATCAAATTTAAAACAGGTATAAAGTTCCATGCTTATTTTTTACATGTACAAACAATCTACATTTTTTTGTGCAATTCACTTACGTGAATTTTTGTAATATTTTTTGGTCAGGGAATCAAACTGCAAAATTTGGAGGTGTGCAGAAATGAAAATAGGATTTCAAGCCAGTCTATATATTAGTTTAGGAAGTGAAAATTAGGTCAGTTTACATTAAAATGTGAACTGATTGAATTTTGCTTTCCAACTCTGCGGGTGCCTTCAGGATAGCAGTAACACTGAATAAAATAAGATGATTAAAAGACAAATTCTTCAAATACCCTGAAACCACTAATATTTTTAAAAATTCTCTTATGCTTTTTCTATGAACACTAATCAGCTGTTTTGCTTGGTTTTGTTCCTGGAAGAAAGAAAGATAAGTAGAATGTAAGTCACGATAGATATGGATTATT